ATTGTATAGTCGGCCCAGTTGCGGGCACGTCCAATGGAACCAAAGTTATTTTCCCCCAGCCACTGGTGGCATTTGTGGGCCCGAGACCACTGTAACCCTGGATGCTTGAGTGCCAGAGTTGGGTGTGACTCTCACACGAACACCAGTGACGATGTCTACCCTCCCGGCACTCGATAGCACGGCGTCTCTCAGGTACATACTTGAAAAGGTTACTAACAGCGGCCTTGGTCCAACTGCTTTAACGCCTTTCTATACACCAATGCGGTGACACTTGACAATTGGAGTGCTTACGGGTATCCCAGTCATCCTGAATATGCCGTGGAGGCTCCACCTATCAGATTCCTTTCTCGCCCTACTTTCGGCTCTTTGCTGAACCTTGCTGGAGTTTGTAAGGTAAACACTGGCTCTGTCCACGTGTGGCCCTGGTTGGTTGTTTCGACGATTTCACAGACATAGGACAATCCGCACGTCCCTCAACGATTAACCAACACGAACGGGCGATTTCAATGGCCAACGTATAAGGAAATAGAAGGCAGACTGCTAGACCTGGACCAAAGCACTATATTTGAGCGTAAAAATACAGTGGCGTGGCACGGTGCGTTGAACGACCAAGGTGGAAGTTTGTGGAAGCAACGCACGTCAACGTTCAGTAAAACAAGGACGTGATGTAAAACAAGAGTGACAAAGCAGAGTCACTTCAGAGGCTCCCCCCAGAATGGCACTGGAGTTGAAATTCACGCGATTTGATCTCCACGTGAGCTTAGGTTCTGTTTTTACATATATGTTCATTTATATATAGACTACTTGTAGTATTTGCTCTTGTTACTGTTGCAATTGTGCAATTGCAACATACGTTGCATCACTATATTTATCATCTACCCCCCTCGCCATCTGAACTAATCATTCCATTCCACCTTGCATCTATGATTATAGACTGATCTTTCCCTTAAACTACTAGTGTATTTACTTAATAATCATAGATTGAGCTACACCATAATCACCGTGTAATAAGTTATCGCTTGCTTTGGATATATCCAAAACAATCAATTTACCACTCTCCACCGCTGGCTTTCCTATCTCCCAAGTACTTAGAACTGTTTCGATGCTCCCTGAGCAACCTCATCTCTTGTCCCATTTTAATCGTTCCACATACGATCCTGTAGAACAACGATAACATGCCAGCTCGCGGAACCAAACGTGCCTGATAGTGTACGCGACGCAACAAGCCTTGTCTCCTTGATGGCAGACGACGTTCTCCATGCAGCCCACCGCGACGCACCAAGGGAGCGAACCCGGCACAAGACGTTTTCCATGCCTCACACCCACCGTCCGGTGGCTTGTTGCCAATGCTTTCAAATCCGGTTAGGGATAGGGGCTGGTATTCGTGGTCTTCCGAAGACTAATTGTTAGAGTCGATCAAGCGCATTGTGCAGGGTACAGTGTCGAGTTGAAACGTCAGAGAACAGGGAAAATTATGCGCCTTGCGGAGCAGCGGATGTACGACCACACGGTACACCTCAAGCTTGGTGCTGCGTGTTAGGTGCGGTCGCATATGCACAAGAAAAAATATTAATAATATTGATAACAGTAACAACTGTACAAAGTGCATGTTAAGGTGAAATTTACAGTACGCGTCACTTAGAAATAGGTTGATTTTACGAAATTTCTACAGTTTATGTAATCATTAAATCTAATGGCTTGTCGCACCGTACGGCCGCTTCGATTTCTCCTGGTGACTGGCGCGGCAGTATCACCTGATGAAGTAGGTGTTGCGACCGAAGAAGAGAAATCAGGAAGGAGAGCCGTTGTTACAAGGTGTAGAAGCTTGTCACGTAGAAGAATTTGGGGTAGGGGTGAAAGAATACACTTCGACGACAGCCGGTTTTAGGCGATCTATAGTTGTTGTCTCCCTCTTACCATTAACCAGCACTGTATAAAACTTCGGCATTTTTGTAGGATGCGGAACGGGCTAGTATAGGGTGGTCGCATGGGTGAACGCACCTCGTTTACCCCGATAAACACATGGCTGGCTGTTGCTAAAGACTTGGGTACGTAACTGCGGGTAGTTTGGTCTTGTGGTGGCGTCAGCTCTAAAAGGCGCATGTGATGTTCTATACGCTTGACGGAATCACCATAGTCAAAGCTGGAAGGAGGCGATGGGGCGACTTATTCGCCTGGAAAACGCAATGTGCAACCGTATACTAGTTGCCCTGGGGTGGCGTTTGGCTCTTCCTGGATTGTGTTACGCAAACTGAGCAGAACCATTGCCAATGATTCATTCCGAAAAGATTATCTTGGGCTCGCAATGCTGCTTTCAGTTCGAGGTGAAAACGTTTCACTAAGCCGTTGGCTTGTGGATGGTATGCAGTTCTTCTAATGTGGCGGCAACCGAATGTGTTCAGCAGAATGGTGAAAGCACCGTCAAAGTGAGAGCCGCAGTCAGTGGGTACAACCGCTGGGCAACCAAACTGACTTATCCAAGTCGGTTGTCTAATGGGGATGGCTTGTGCCCATGGGGGGAAACGATCTACGCATGTGAGCAGGTAGACGCCTCCTTGGG